CAAAGTAAAGACATGAGTTTGTCTTGGCAATGCCAACCTCCTGTGTATGATCTGTAAAACGTCGTCAATGACCGTGGTCAAGGGAGAGGATTTTCTGCTTTCAAGAACAGGGTGGGGTGAAAGAAAAAGTGTCTCAATGAACAATGAACGCTCCAGCTTATCCACTCAGCCAAGTTTCTGCAACATGAACTAGGCTCTAAGAGAAAGACGTAGGATAAGCACTTCGAAATCTTTAGGATTTGCCAAGGGATGAAATTAATTAGATGCACAAAAAAGTAGACGGAGGAGGATGGCAAGAAAATTTTGGGGCTTGTGTTCTTACACTTGAATTGTTTGTGCAGGAACCATTACTGAAGCAGCACTTCATTCCTGGGGCAATAATTTATTGCTAGTCAAAGCCTGTTTCCAGAAATGCACATCAGGTGAGCGGCTTTTTTTTTTTTCTCTTAAACATGAGGTGCTCTTTAACATTGCCCTCCAATCCCAAACCACGGCTACGAGATTCTTTTCGGCTTCTGGTTGGCCAAGATATCTTGTCAAGCCCTCTATTTGCGTCCCGGTGTTAGGCATCTGCATTGCCCTAACTTGGTTTGCGCTTTCTTCTCTGTTCTAAACTCCCAAACTTAATTCAAGCAACAAGCATCGATGGCGACAGTCCCTCGGTCATCGGGACACTATTGCTCGGTTTTAGGGTACACGAATAACGACAGAAAGCGTTGAATACAGTCTGAGGACCTATGTATCTTGCACGGGGTCCGGCAAGGTGAGTGCGGCTGTTTCTACATGACCCCAATCTCCGGTGGCAGTGGTTTGCTTCTGTAAACTGAAAAGACTTTTCTCCAACGCTATCCTCTCGACCGTGCTCGTAACATTTTGTGAATGGAGCGCACACCGAACTTAACGCTGTACCGTCGATGAACATGGGGTACGCTCGCAAGGTGCGTGCAAGTTTTCTCGAGATAATGGCTGTTTCAGGTTGTAACATTTTCTAACTGAATTTATCTTAATATTGATATTTCAAAATGTTGACAATGACTCAATTTTATCAACAACGCTGAGTTGAAGGCTCATTTCTGCCGCCGGGTGTGGCTGAAAATTGTCGAAAAGCTTGTTTTATTGGTTTTCCTGAATCACGATCACCTGAGCAATACCAGAGAGCCATGAACCTATGTTGACCGTCACAATGCGACTAGATACTCATTTTAAAAATTAGTACATAATGTAGCCAGGAAGAAGCCTTCAATTTCTGTTGCTGAAAGTTGAAATATGCTCATGCATCAATTTCGAATCGTTGAATCATTGACCGACTCGCTCCGGCAAAAGGCCCATCTCGACTTTGCTGTTTTCAGTTCTCGACAAAAGACACACTCGTTGGCACGGGATCCTCAAATAAAACGTTTATAAACACCGATGCATGAGCTTGTTTCTATGTTTATAAACAGTGATGCATGAGCATGTTTCAACTTTAAGCAACAGAAATTGAAGGTTTCTTTCCAGCTACATTATGTACTAATTTTGAAAATAAGAAGAATCTAGTCGCATTGTGACGGTCAGCATGGGCTCATGGCTCTCTGGTATTGCGCAGGAGATTGGGATTCAGGCAAAGCAATAGAACTAACTTTTTGACAATCGCCAGCCACACCTGGCGACGAAAATCAGCCTTCAACTAAGTGCTGTAGATAACAAAATTGAGTCAATGTCACCACTTCGAAATATCTATATTAAAATAAATTCAGTTCCAAAATGTTAGAAGTTGAAAGCAAATATCAAGAGAAAACTTGCACACATCTTGCGAGCGCACCCCGTGTTCATCGACGGTACAGCGTTAAATGTCATGACCACTCCATTCACAAAATGTTCCGAGCACAGTCGAGAGGATGGCGTTGGGGAAAAGTCTTTTCGATTTAGGGACGCAAGCCACTACTGCCGGAAATCGGGGTCATGTGGAAAGCGATGGAGCTTAAAGACACTGCAGTCGCACTCGCCTTGCCGGATTTCGCGCAAGCCACACAGGCTCTCGGACAGTATTCTACGCTTTCTGTCGTTATTCGTGCACCGTATAACTGAGCAATGGTGTCTTGATGACCGGGGGACTGTTGCCATCAAAGCCCGTGGCTCTAATTAAGTTTGGGAGTTTAAAACAGAGAACAAAACACGAACGAAGTTCGGGCAATGCTTACACCGAACACTGGCAAAGCCTCTCATCTGGGGCTTTCACTGTCTTTAACGCTCCAGCAAGGGGGAAAGCGCCGATAGCCCTTTCCCCTTTTATCTCTCGCACTCTTTTAGTAAAACAGTCTATACACGGTTCTGCTCTGCTTTAACCCCGTTAAACAAACTTCTTACCAAGCACCGGTGCACTGCGGAAAAGCAACACCAGCGGAAGCAAGCTCCACGGGTGTTGCTTCTCCGCAGTGCACCGGTGCTCCGAAAGAAGTGCGCTCAATGGTGGTGCGAGAACAAAAAGTATGAATTACACGAAAACATCGTTCGAGTTGAGCGGCTTATAAATACATTGAAAACGTAGCGGGTCAACCAAAGTTTTGAAATTTGTTTGACTTAACCAGAAGTATTAAATATCTGAGTTTGAATTATCGCGAGTTCTGTATATACTAAGGGAGATCTGGTTCAATCCAATATCCTCAACATCACTGAATAGTTGTGCAATTTTAATTGGCTAGTTTTATTTCTCAAGCACTTGATATGTTCGGTATTCAAATCAATGCAAATTTTTACTTTGGTTCAATTTATGGGGGGTTTATTTTATATGTCATGTTTAGTAGGAGCTAGGCTAGTTGGTAAGCACGTTGCTCACTTACTTTAACTATGCATGTCATATACAATTTGTTGCGATTGTGTTTGAATGCAAATCCTCTTCTGCTCTTTATTTCAAGCTGCCCTAACATGCACCATGAAGATACCGAGGAGGTCTTCAATTGGATGACAACTTCAAGCACAAGCATCTAAATGGCCAGCACAAGGACAACTATAATGTAAATTTTCTCCAAAGTTAAAGCAAGGCATGCCTTCTTCCAATAAAGGTATTGTGGCGAAACTTCTTAATTGGTTCGTTTGTTGAGCTGTCATCTATAGGAACAGCTGAGCTCACACAAACAAAATCCTGGCAGTGAGAAGTACCGGTTGTGTGCTCTTTCTCTTTTGCAAAACTTGAACTTTTTGGCTGAGGATGAAAGATTATTCAAGTTCATATCTACAATGACGGAGCTATGAACTCTCCATACCAATCTACCCCAAAAGCGTCATGTGACTTAGGCTTGCTTAAATATGGAAGCTTTTTGCACTAAATAATGTAACACTTGACATTTACGTCTTTTTGAACTGGACTCTCCGTAAATACAAGGCATATAATTTTGTAGAATGGTGAAATTTCTGTAGCCATGGGCGTCCGGAAGGGGGGGCAAGGGGGGGCGGTTGCCCCCCCCTGCAACTTTGGAGCATTTTTTTTTTTTTTTTTAGTTTGATCATGCATTGGTAAAAAGCTACTCAACTTTTGCCAACACACTGGAGTTCTCCATATGACAAGAAGTCCGCCCTATCCGTACAAAACGCCCTTTAGGATTGCGAGCCGACTTTACATGTCACATATTATGACTGATCTAGCCCGTCAGGTCCCGGTGGTGAAGGAAACACTGGCTGGCATTGAAGATATTTATGATAGAGGACAATTCTAAGCTGAAAGTTCGATGCTATTTTTTTCTTATGAATTTCATGGATTTTGCATTCTTATATCGTACAGTAGAGTTTTTGTATCAAATTGCCCACTACATTTCGGGGGAACAAAGTACCATTCGCACGTGGCTTCACATCTCTTTGTATCCCCCCCCCCCCCCCCCATCCCAAACCCTCAAAACCTGAACCATAAATCCGCCCCTGGAAAAACTTCTACTGCATTCAAGGTTGAGGGAGTAGTACCTTTTAATACGAACCGTTTCAACGAAACTAAGTTGCTACGCCATCATTTTTAGATTCCAGTTAAATCAAACCGAAACCAAATTTGATGAATTGTTATCTATCTTAATAGTAAGGTTAATTAATTATATACGCTGTTTTTATTGCTGAAAGTCTTTAATACGTGACATAATATACCTTGCCTTGTTTTCTGTGTATAAGAACGAGTGTCAGACACTTCAGACGAATGAAAGCAACAAAAACACCAGGGTAGCCGCATAGTCATCGACACGACTGCGATCTGCCGGTACTGCGCGGGCTTCGGTGTTCTGTACGCCGTGCTGGGATTTGCTGGCGTGGAGTGAAGAATTGAACAAACAACGATTCCAAAGACGTAAGCTACTGCCCGCTATGACTGTTCACTGTGTCCGTTACAATCAATCCGTCCATTTCGCCTGTTCGCCATCTCCCACGAGGCACTCTCTAGTCACCTTTGCCTAGCGCGATCCGAAACAATGGACATTCGACACTTCTTCAAGCGTCAGCGGATGTGTGACGAAGTGTTATCAAGTTGTCCTGCTGAAGATCCTGGTGTGACATGTTTCAACGTTGCCACATCTGACCAAAGTGAAGCAAGCTTTCATCAGCAGACAGCAGCTGACATCGTCGAGTCTACGAGAGGGACTGCACCAACGGTGAGCTCCCACGACGTAGTAAGCTACGATGATTCCCCTTCCCCTTGTTTGGGTTTAAACCAAGGTGACTCCAGCAAGGAAGCAACTCGGGTCTTTAATAATTATGACTTGGGAGAGTTTCTAGACAAAGCTAAACACCCGAGCATCCCGGACTCTTTGAAGTTACGCCTTCTTAAAGACCCATGGACGCCAGATGTTAAGTACGACTTTAAGAAAGATGTAACATCTGTCAAAAGAAGTTTCCGCTACCAATTGCTGGCAGATTACTCCCCTTGGCTTGCGTACTCAGCGACAGCGAAAGGCGCCCTTTGCCGTTACTGCGTCACTTTTCCCGCGAATGTTCACCGCGGCACTCAAGGTAGCTTTATCGTGCGTGCTTTCATGAACTACAAAAAGATGCATGAGGCGTGCAGGGATCACGTAAAGTCCCAATGGCACCAGGAAGCAATGGCAGCCTCACAAGACTTTATGAATGTAATGATGAGCAAGCAGCTGCCCGTTGCACAGCAGCTGAACAGAGCACTGCATCACCAAGTTGAAAAGAACCGCGAGAAACTATTTCCTATAGTTTCCACCATCATCTTTTGCGCAACGCATGACTTGCCTATTCGCGGGAAGCAGTCTGACAGTGGAGTCTTCAACGATCTGCTTGATTTTCGGGTGGAAGCTGGAGATGCTCGACTTCAGGAACACTTCGCTTCTTGTGCTGGCAACGCAAAGTACACTTCTGTCCGGATCCAGAACGAGATCATCACAATCTGTGGCGACATCCTGAGAGAGCAAATTGTGTCCGAAGCTAACACAGCGTTGGCTTTCTCCGTCCTTGCGGATGAAACGGCGGACATTGGAGGAACAGAACAGCTGTCTATAGGGATTCGCTTTATTGACAAGGCGGGAACCGAGGCATTCGTTCGGGAGCAGTTTATGGGATTTTTAGAGCTGGAACAACTGAACTCCGCTTGCATCGCCGCTACAATCTTGAAGTTTTTGAAGGATGCCGGGCTGATTCTGTCGAACCTCGTTGGACAGGGATACGATGGATGCTCTACAATGGCTGGAAAAGAAGCTGGAGTAAACAGGATAATACAGAAAGAGCTTCCTAAGGCACTATTCTTCCACTGCGCAAGCCACAAACTCAATCTCGTGATCAACGATCTGAACGAGGTCTCTGAAATTCGAAACACGATAGGGGTCATCAAACAAACCATAAACTTCTTCCGTGAGAGCGTTCTCCGAAGGAAATTGGTGCCCAACATTCCGATGCTGTGTGAAACAAGGTGGTCTGCAAAATACAAGTCAATTCGGATCTTCTCTGAGCATTACGTGGCCATAGTCGAAGCGCTCGAGGACCTGGCATCAATGGAATCAAGCTCGAATGCTGCAACGAGGGAACGCGCTCATATCCTCCACTGCGCAACAACGAGCTCATCTTTCATCGTCTGTTTGCACATTGTCGCGAAGTACAGCGCACAGCTGGAACCCGTTACGAACATTTTGCAGAGTGTATCCATGAATTTCCATTCTGTACACAACCACATCACTGAGCTGCAGAATATTTTTCGCTGCCACCGGACCAACGCTGAAGAGCAGTTCTCGGATATCATGAAGACAGCAAGTGAAGCGGCCAATCATCTAGGCGTGTTGATATCTGAACCCAGACAAGCCTCACGGCAGGCCCACCGAGACAACTACGGGATACAGTTGCCGGAAGAGTATTACCGCGTGGCAATATATGTGCCGTACTTGGACTCTCTCAATGCTTCTTTGTCTCGCCGCTTTTCTGAAAGCAACAAGAAGAGCTACAGACTTCTCCAGCTGCATCCAGCAAGAATGAAGCACTTGAGTCGCGTTGAGTTTGCTGTTCTCGCCGATGAACTCCAAGGCTTTTACGGCATCGAAAACTTCAAGGAAGAGGGCATCTCCTGGTATGAGATGTGGCTCAACAGAACTGGGGACTGCTCAGAAATATCTTATCCCGAACTTCTGCTTCAGGCAAAGACGTTCTTCCCCGCTGTCGCAAACGCCATCGAGGTGGCTCTTGCCTTACCAGTTACCACCTGCACTGTCGAACGCTCGTTCAGTACACTAAGGAGAGTGAAGACGTGGCTACGTTCAACTATGAGGAACGATAGGCTGGACGGCCTTTGTATGATGAGCGTACACCGGGAGCGTGTAATGAAACACAAGGACGACTTTATCACCCGTGTAATCACGCAATTTGCCCAGAAAAATCCAAGGCGTCTGCAGCTGTTATTCAAGGAAGACTAACTACAGTCGGATGTTGGTGAACATTTTGTGTTGCGTGCTGGTCATCAGTTCGCGTGAGCCGCGAACTCACGTTCACAGAGACTTGGCACTCTTGTTGTCAACATATTTTTAATAATTTTTCTGCAATTTGAATATTTAAACTTAACGCTTTGTTCAATAACAAAATCCAGTCTATTTTTTAAGCTTGGCAGTTTACCTTGCCGTTTCTAATGTTTTTTTTTATCCTTGAAGTTTACACCAGAAATCGCGCATCTTTGGCAATTTCTTTTCCCTTAACCCCCCCCCCCCCCTTTTCCCGGCCCTTTATGTGCACGGGTGCCCCCCCCTGGAAAAAGTTCTGTGGACGCCCATGTCTGTAGCCCACATTACGGACAGCTATCCGTAGGAAATGTGAAAGCTGTCCGCACTAAATACCGAAGGACTATACCTTTCCGAATTATATAAGGCCAAAGCTACGAGTCATCCGCACCAGTCCTGCACCTCTGATAAGTCAGGTGACACCCCTGGCAGATCTAGAGCTCTGCCAGGTAAGTCGCCTGATGTATCGGAGGTGCAGGTGGTACGGATGGCTCGAGGCTTTGACCTTATACAATTCGGAAAGGTATAGTCCTTCGGTATTTAGTGCGGACAGCTTTCACATTTCCTACGGATAGCTGTCCGTAATGTGGGCTACAGACGTTCCGTCATTTTACAAAATTATATGCCTTGTTTTTACGGACGGTCCCATTTCTAGATTACGGCAAACCATACCGGCAATATTGAACCGGCAACTTTCACCCGTAAAATGGAAAACGGATAACTGTCTGTAAAGTGAACTACGGACGTTTCGTCATTTTACGGAATTATATGCCTTGGTTTTACAGACAGTCCCGTTTCTAGATTACGGCAAACCATACCGGCAATATTGAACCGGCAACTTTTGCCCGTAAAATGGGGTGAAAATTTTTTACAGTGTAGACACGAGCACTGCGTGAGCACTCTGCTTGTAATACTCTTTGCCTCGGCGAACATTCGGGTAGTGGCTCGTGCCAAATCGCCGCGGTGACGGGAATAGCCGAACTCGAACAATGTTTGGAGCTCAGCACGTGCGCTCTGCCTTAGCAAAACCAGCGCGTGGCTAAGATTCACGTTGGCAGCATAGAATCAGCACCAGATCACGTGGCACTTTGTTCTGGCACCGAGTTGAGGATGTGAACGCTGCTCGTTTACTGTATTTTTTTCTGCGACTGCCATAGTATAGTAAGAAAAAAACAATGTATTTTTCGTAGCTTATCTACGTCAAAGAATAGTCCCAAGTAGTATTTAGTAAACGTAAAAAAATCGCTATTTGCAGCCAAAACCAATGAGTTTCTGCGCCTTGGACTGCTCTTTTTAGCAAAAAAGATCTGACATTTAAACTTTATCTTCTGTATCCTGGCGTTGATTTTCGCAGCTGTTTCGATATGAACGGGCGCGCCAGCACATCGCGCAGTAATGTATAACTGCATATTCCTACTGCGCGATGCGCTTTGAAGTCCTGGCGTTACCAGTGGTACTGCAGTGGCTCAGTTGCCGCTCAGCGGATGCCATCTTCAGGTAGAAGATAGCTCCCGCTAACCTCATATAACCTGTTTTAACAAATAACTTTCAAAATTCTTGAAATATAAGAAAACAGGACTGTTTTCGCTAGTGATGAATTTTATACGTGTTACATCGACACAGGTAATATAAAATATTCTGAAGGCGGTGCTCCAATTGAAAGATAAGCATTACCTGGGTTAGCAAGGACACGATCGCAAAAACGCAACACGAGGTTATTTATTTATTTACATGAGAACTTGAGTAGAAAAGTCACTTTGTCTGGCAACGTGCTCGCTCGCATAGCCTCGATAGCGCTGCAGATCGCCTTAAAACACAATAAAGGCATATTTTTGTTCGAAGCGACGGGGTTTACGTATACGGGCATGTATACGCACGCTTACATCGTAATTCAGGAGAAATAATCTTCAGCTCGCGTAGGAAACCGAACCAACAGCGGGGTAGAAAACATTTACCTTCAAATGTATGCACTGCAAAACTGGGCAATGTGAAACACCGCCTGCGCTGTTCAAAGCCACATTAAATTTTTTCATTACGGCAAACGACCTAATGTGCGCGAGAATAAATTTTCCTCGAATTCCGCGATTTGATAAAAATTGAGAAAATATTTATCACAGGACTAAAGCGCACGGTGGTCACGAATACAAAGAATGCCACTACGATTCGTGAAACGTTGTGCCCGCGAAATATTCTCCAAACCATCACTTTTCTAAATTTGCTGAATATGGAGCCTGAGAAAATAAAGTCGTCTAAAGTGTACAGAAAATGTTTACGCCATCGTCAGACCGTTCTTCCGCAGATCAGAATAGGGAGTTGTAGTAGACCGCGTCCGCTATCCGGCTAAGCTTACCGCGACCGTAAACGAGGCCCGAAGTTCTGCAGCCAAGGCTAGCGGCGCGCGCTCGTTTCCGGTCGTGGTAAGCTTCGGTAAGCTTAGCGCGACGGCGGACGCGGTGCGGTCTACTACTACTCCCTAGTGACTGGCTTTGCGTGGTTATGAAGGAAAATAGATGGGCCGGTTTACCGCAGTCAATTATAACTGGAAGTAAAATAAAAATGCGAGCGAACAGTTCTCTTGAGCGTTGACTAAAAAAAAAAAAAAATCGAGGTAAAGCGAAAACAATTGTGATTGTTGTTGTTTTTTTCGAGCAGTTTGTAAAACAAAAAGAAATGCGTTGAAATTGTTCAGCTGAAACGACCACGTATCACGGAGAGAGTACGAAGCAAGGAAAAGCAAAACCTACTTAATTTCATCGCATTTGATGTTAACCCCGAAGAAATCAAATCGCCATAAATGGACACTTGCTTACCTGTACGGTTGGTCGGTTGGTTGGTTGAAAGATCCGGCTTGTTGGCTGCAAGGGGTGACCTTTGGCAGAGGCGTCGCTGGTCACAGGGTGGCTCTTCGCTGATAATGTGCCCGCAGAAAAATTTTCGCCCCTTTATAAAACTTCATCTTCCGCGAGGGAAAGTGTCCGCTCCAGGAACATGTGACTTCCCTCTTTTCCCTCAAAGACACAACATCTCCTTTTTTTGGTAATGTTCGACGCTCGGTAAGAGAGAAAACTCGCGCTCGTTTTAAAGACCTCTTCTGGCCTTTCCTTTTTTGGTCATGAACCTCGTCCCTGCTACCAAATAAGGGCATTGAACATGGCACAAGTCTGTTCCATCCCAATCCTCCTTTTTCCTGGCATTTTTGTTTTTAACCCTAAGACGTCTAGTAACGCGAGCACTCTAGAAAAACAAACAAAAAAGAAAAATATCGACTTGACCTAGCAGACGCAATATGCGCACGGCCTTCCCTTGAGACCTGCCAACTAAAAATACGCTAAACAAAAAAAGCTTTGTGTGCTTCATCCTCACGCCTTCACAAGGCCTAGCCCCCCCCCCCCCCCCCCCCCCCCCCCCCTTTCGCCACCTCAAACGAGGGAAGAAACTGATGGAAAGATAGAAGCACGTCAACGATCTCCAAACAGAAGGAACCTTTGGCCTTGAGCGCTGTTCGACACTTCTGCATCGCATGCCGACTCCGCGGCTGCTAGGTTTTCTTTTTTTTTTTTTCTTCTACACGCATGTGACCTGAAAATACGGTTTCTCCGTACTCTGTGTTACCCTACGACGGACTAAGAAGCAAAGCTACGGGGTCGCCACGTCCAATCACGAGCCAGTTAGAAATTACGTGGTATATTACTCTCTCGATGATACGCACAGCGGAGCTATCTGCCACATGTTTTTTAACTGGTCCGTGATGGGACCTGACGACCCGTAGGTATGGTTCTTAGGAGAGATGGAGCATAGCAACAGCCGGACTGGAGGAGTTCTGTCCATGCTCTAGCTTACGTAAAACGAGCCGAATACTGAGAAGAAGAAAAAAAAAAAAAAAAAAACTTAAGCTCGCGCGCGCGAGTGTGGACATCTCTTTTTCGAGATTGAGTAGACGTTTATTGACCCTTTCGGTAAGAGAGTATATTTTGAGTTCAGTTCGGCACCAGCACCGCGAACGAGGAAAGTGAAAGGATTGATTGAGTGATTGCGTATGCCTTCATTTAGCACGCCCGAGCACTTATTGCCCCAAAGTAGGACGACCGTTTCTTTATTTTGTTCACCCGTCTATAAATAGTTTTGTCACTTGAAGAAAGCGTAATTGCACGAATTGAACGATGGAAACTCGCAATCTCGATACAAACCGTTTGCTTCTTCCTTTCTTTAAGGCGCGCAGGTACTGTAACTAACGTTTCTTGCCAAAAAAGCTGTTGAACCGTTTTCTGAACCGGTTACCGTTATTTTGTTTTTCGGTTCGGTTCCGGTTCAGTTCCAAGATGGCGGCGAGCATTTCGGTTCGGTTAGGTTACGGTTCGGCAAAAAATAACGGTTCGCGTTCCGGTTTTCGGTTCGGTTCGGTTCGGATTCGACACCCTGGTCCGGTGACCATTTTTAATTTCGATGAAAAATATATTTTGCTGGCTTTATGCCCAGGAGAACAGAACCAATCCTTGTTATCGAAAAAAAAATATGTCGTCTTTGCGAAAAGAGTTTGTAAGCACCCTCTTACTCACGTGCGCGTTTTGCGTATCGCGCGATGTTGACTTTTCGGGCGGATTCCGCCAAAAAACTGCTCTGGCTACGGGTCTAAAAGTATGCACTGACGAATTAGGAATGGGAATAATTGACAAAACGTATTAATCAACGAATAATAGGGTAGCCATTTTGAGAAATAAAGAAACGCAAACACGGCACATTACGCAATAACGCTCTGGATTAAAGAATATTTTTTTCCGTATCTATAGAAGCTAAGGCCTTCAAACTTTGCAGTATGTTTCCCTGCATATAGTTAATTTTTGCGTGAATCATTGTTGTCCTGGTTCGTGGAAGAAATTTACAAGAATTGTTCACACAGGGGCATTTAACTAAAAATGTATTGT